GCCACTGCACTCCAGTCTGGGCGACAGTGAGACTCCAACTCAAAAAAAAAAAAAAGAATTTATTTAGCATAGTGCTTGGAATATATAGAAAGTACTCAATATTATCCTAATCACAATCCTTATCATCATTTTTATTATCCTCATTATTTCCATTCATTGATCCTAGCTGTTCATTTTGGAACAAAATAGAATGAGTGACCTCCTATTTTACTTAACAGCTTTGACGTTTGAAGATGTCTTCCTGAATTTTTTTTTGTGAGTCATGGTCTCATTCAGTTACTTAGGCTGGAGTACAGTGGCACAATCATGGCTCACTGCAGCCTTGACCTCCTAAGCCCAAGCAATTTTTCTGCCTCAGCCTCTTGAGTAGCTAGGACTATTGGTGTGTGCCATCATACTTGGCTAATTTTTTTGATATTTTTGAAGTGACTAGGTCTTGCTATGTTGCCAGTGCTGGTCTCAAACTCCTGGGCTCAAGTGATCCTCATACCTCAGTCTCCCAAAGTGCTAGAATTATATGAATTATATATGCTCACAGTCACCGCAGCCTCAACCTGCTGGGCTTAGGTGATCCTTCAGCCTCAGCCTTCCAAGTAGCTGGAGGTACAGGCATGCGCCACTGTGCCTGGCTAATTTTTTTATTTTATTGTAGAGATGAGGTCTCACCAAGTTGCCCAGGCTGGTCTCAAACCCGTGGGCTAAGGCAAACCCTTGGCCTCCCAAAGTGCTAGGATTATAGGTATGAGCCACTGTGCCTGGCCTGGAATTGATTTTTTTTTTTTTTTAGTTGGAGTCTCACTCTGTCGCCTAGACTGGAGTGCAGTGGCCGCTCCTGGCCACCGCACCCTCGACCTGCTGGGTTCCGGCAATCCTTCCGCCTCAGCCTTCCAAGTAGCCGGAATTACAGGCATGCGCTACCACACCCGGCTGATTTCTGGAATTGATTTTTATGTACAGTAAAAGAAGTAAGGATACAAAAATGATATCTAGTTGACCCTGCACCAGTTACTGAAGATTATTAATTTCCTATTGCTCTACAGTGTCACCTTTGTCATAAATCAAGCATCTATATTTATGGGTCTATTTCTGGACTCTATTCTATTGACCTATTTATTTTTCTTTTCAAGAAACTATACTGTAGCGATTTCTTTGCCCATGCCAGCCCTGGCATGTCCCCCTTTCTTTTTTTTTTTTTGAGTTGTAGTCTCACTGTTGCCCAGACTGGAGTGCAATGGCTGCTCCCAGCCACCGCAGCCTCGACCTGG